AGACTGATCGCTTGAGTGGAGGTTTCTTCTCAGCTAATTGTATAAATAGATCAGTTATGAGTGCAACGTGTCCCAAGCAATCAGTGGTACCGCGACCATACAGTTTGTCACCCTGTGTGTGTGTGTGTGAGAGAGAGAGAGGAACTTATTACTTTAAGTATTGCTAACTTCTTGTGTTAGTTTGAAAGGATTTCTTTCCCATGTCTCAGGATTAGCAGGCACACAGTCCAAATGACTCCCAACAAAAGAGACTGTTCCCTGGGTAGCACTGGGAGGTGAGTAGCCAATGATTAGGTTACCACGTCCTTCAACATATGCCACATGATCCAGTGTGAGTGGTCCACCATTTGTAGTAGAATGAGGATTAAGGACATCAAGGAGATGCTTAATGGCCCTGATAAATAAAGCAAAAATTATTCAAGGAATGCTTTTGACACTTCAAAGTGTAAACAAGAGGTGTAAACAAGAGGTGTAAACAAGATACAAGGTATAAACAAGATACAAGGTGTAAACAAGGTGTGCATTTGATTCCCTTTACAACTAAAACCAAGAGTTACTGCAATATATAAAGTATGTATGGTTGGTATCATCTGTGGTATGTTTTTCAGCCTACTGATTTATCTTTATTAAATTAAATTTAATTTTAATTAATCTAACAATAGATTTTACAAGGTGGACAAAAGAGAGAATGAACAGAGGAGAAGAAGGGATTCACGAATGACAAAAACACTTTGATGGGTTATCAGCAAGAGCTGCTGATACCCAGGAGAACTTATATAATTATGAGAAATTTACCTGTCTTCCTGAGGTACAAACTTAGGAGGGTTGTTCTGCAAGAATTCAGTTTCTCCTATCAGTTTAGAGAGGAGTGATACATATCTGTCGCAATTCAACTCTATTGATAGGCCAGTCTGCTCAGCCATAAATCTCAGTATCTCTGTCTCTGAGTTGAGTGAGTTAGATTTGACTTGGGACCACCTTTCAGGTGTGGCAATAAAACATGGACGTTAAAACACTTTTATCCAGCCAAGAGCTAAAGGATTCTTTGGACAAGCATTGGCCAGATACATTAGAAGTACCTAATACAATATAGATCTAGTTAGAGTAGCCTGTTCCACCATTATCTATGGTTACACTTTCTCTATAGATTGCACGTGCCCTAGCATTAGGTGAGCAGTATGATGTGCATCTATTTGCTGATAGTTGGCCTCATATAACAACACTGATACTAACTTATAATGAAGGCAGTGCTAAAAGTATGAACAACAGATTATGTACGTCTAGTTGCTTGACTGCATTTGTTACAGGAGTTTTTATATTCAGTACTGATGCATCGAAAAGTGTTTCAACACTTGAGAAATCAGGAATTATTACTGACTTTAAAATTTCAATAGTTCTCGGTAATCATAAAGGCAAATTTAGAATTTACAATATTATGTTGGGCTTGACATTATGTTGATGCTGGAGTTGAATTTGGTTCAACCTTGCATAATGCATGCGTCAAAAATCAAATTGCCCATAAACTATTTGAATTATTTTGCCATGACTATAGACTACTGTTGTGACTTATGAGTGGCACTTTTAGACAAGTAAATTTTATAGCTTCTGATGCTAATATTGGCTGTTTGGAATGGTCTCGCATAGTTAGCCCTTTGCTTTGGGCTGACTATAGCGCTTTAATTTGGCGGAGTTTTATTTTGGCAATTAGCAGTTTGCAAGCGGAATTTGTCAATATTAAAACTGCCAATCATTAATGCGCATGCTCAGCAATGCATGTGTACACAAAAACTACCAAATTAAAACACTTTTACAGCAAAATTGCCAAAATAAAACACCATCAAAATAAAGTGCTATATGGTATGTGAGACTAGTTTGTGAGTGCTTACCCTAATCAGCTTATAGTTTGTAGCTCTGCCTACTACAATCAAGATCTATTCTATGCATTAGGTGATAAGGAAGTTCTTCAGAGAGCAATGGATAAAGTTATATCTGATCCTCTTTATGTGGGACAAAAATATCATAAATATGATAAGGCAGCAGCCAGATTCATGTACAGGGGTTCATCAGAAAGAGTATTTAAGTTAGTTTGGTTTTTGAGGCTACTAATAGTATTTTTTTCAGGAAATCTCTTCCTGATGAATACAAGCTTGATGCTATTCATTTATCTGATGCTGAGCTTATTGCATCAAAGTGGCATCCTTTTGGTGGATTGAAGAGGAGAGGGCTTATAATACATTATATTACTAAATATCCAAATGTTGCAATTTATGACACAACAAGGGAGCCTCCTCAACTGATTTCTTGAGTAACATCATCAGGGCTAGGTGTACTATATAACTTTTACACAGTAGAAGAGCATCGTAGTAAAGGATTGGGAACTTTAGTGATACAAGAAATTACAGAGAAATTACTAGCTATTGGAGTTACTCCATTGGTATACATAGAATTGGACAACAAACCATCCCAAACTATATTTACAAAGTGCGGTTATATTAGAGCTGGATCTGTTGTAGCATTAATGCATGCTTTATGAAATAATTTAAAACAGTGATAATTTAAATAAACATGATGTAGATCTATCTTGATATTTTGTTTTCAATGTAGTCTATATCTTTTTTCCTTTGTCACTGTTATCAAAATTAGAATTTTAAAAATTTTGTGGACACATATAGACTAGTCTATCCTATTATTGTTATGTATATTTAAATAATTTTAATGAATGTATAAATTTTATTGCAATTACATTGTTGTTTGTTTTTGTATAGTACCATGGCCATGACAAGTTGTAAAACCAAATTTTCCTTGGTTTAAAATTATTGTACACTCTATTAAAAGTTTCTTTTTTGTCTTCAATCCAATGATTAGCATTACTGGTTTTCTGACGCTTTCATAAACTGCATTTTTATTCTTCATCAGGATCACCTTTCAATTCCTTACTCTCTTTTAATATGTTGAAATTAAATTTTTGTGTGCCTATGATGTCAACTATACATGGTACGTGACCCAAAGTTATATAGGTCAGTACTTGTGAATATGATATCGCATAACCCCAGCAGCAATAGATTTACCGATGGCTATTGAGATTGATCCAACCAAGAGAGAAGAGCTAAAGGATTTTTTGTACAGGCATTGGCCAGACACAGTAGAAGTAAGTCATGAATTTATTTTGTACTGAGAATATTATGTTACATGATCTGTAGATTGTGCATGCTTTAACATTAAGTGATGGACACAGTATTCATCTATTTGCTGATAGTTGGCCTCATGTAACAACACTGATACTAACTTATAATGAAGGCAGTGCTAAACGTATGAACAGCATCGATATCTTTTGATTATGAGTGTTGTATTTTGTAGAGGTTTTCATATTTACTACTGATGCATCACAAGGTGTTTTAACACTTGAGAAATCAGGAATCATTGCAGACTTAGAAATTTCATTAGTCATTGGTAATGCTCTTAACAATAGTTAACATATAGTGTCACAACATAGGTTTTATCCTATTTATATGCTGTAAAACAACAAAAATATCTAAATTTTGATGGTTCTTATTATATTATTTTTAAGGTGATAAGGAAATTCTTCAGAGAGCAATGGATAAAATTATATCTGATCCTCTTTATGTGGGACAAAAATATCACATCTGTGAGGAGGTAGCAGCCAGATTTATTTACAATGCATCATTTGTAACAATGAATAAGTTAGTTCAATTTTTGATGCTGCTAATTATTTATATCTCATGCATTCTTTAACAGAAAACCTCTTCCTGCAGGATACAAGCTTGATGCTATTCATTCTTCTGACGTTGAGCTTATTGCATCAAAGTGGCATCCTTATGATGGATTGAAGAGGCTTATGATACACTACATTACTAATTATCCAAATGTTGCAATCTATGATACAACAAGGGAGCCTCCTCAACCAATTTCCTGGGTAACATCATCAGGGCTAGGTGCCCTATGGCACTTATACACAGTTGAAGAACATCGTGGTAAAGGATTAGGGACTTTAGTGATACAAGAAATCACTGAGAAATTATTGGCTGAGGGAGTTACTCCATTGACGTACATTCAATTGTCTAAGAAGTCATCCCAGTCTATATTTGCAAAGTTGGGATACGTTAGAACTGGATCTGTTGTAGCTTTTATGGATGCTTTGCAATAAAAGAGACAATGATATGAAAAAAACATGTTGACTACAAAATTCTTAATAGTCTAATTATAGTTAGTTTAATTCAATGATTTTGAACTACTTAATTTGCCTATGGCTATGTTATTATTGAAGTTTTTCCTGGGGCTAAATGTATGACCTCTGCCAATGACATAACAGTTCAATTATTATGAGGTCAGCTCCAAGAAATAGCAGTGCTAAACTTAAGCTAATAAGCTTACTATGTAACACTGTTTAGGACCGCCTTCAGGTGTGGCATTACTGGCATAGTAAAACATGGACGCTCAAAGTGAGGGAAAGGATACTAAAGATAAAATGAATAGTGAAGACTTTTATACCAACGCTATATCCTACTGGGAGGTAAGGGAGTCTGACTTATAAAGACAGCCTGTAGAGTTAACCTGTATAGGGTATACCAGCTACTGTTGATGGTGTAATGGGTGGGTTTGCTAATCTATCAACTAATGATGTTACAGGCTCAAAGAAATTTCTCTCTTCATTTATAACAGTACAGTCTGCAGTCTCATCATTGGTTGTATGTTAGCTCCTGTTCTAGGGACCTGAGGCCAGTGTCGCCACAAACAGAGCTCTAGGTATTTTGAATAGTAATTTTACTATTAGATTCAGGGTTTCCCACAGGATTTTGGCATAGTGCTTAGCACCTTGCCAGTGGATTTCAAAGTTAACATTGCATCATTTACTATTGTGCAGCTAGCAGAAGATTTTCCATTTTTATAATTTGTGTGATGCATACGCATGTTCTTGTGTTGCATAAAAATTTTGAGCTAAATCCAATCAAATGGATTTTTTAGGAATTTTTAAAGTTGCTCAAAAATTTGGTGAAAGTCCTTGCACTATAGTAGATAATCTCGAGTCAAATTTCGCCAAAATTGAAAAAAGAGAATTCTCCATTTTGATATTTTTCCTGATACATATACATGTACTTATGTTGTGTAGAAAGTTTGAACTGAGTTCGATCAAATTTGTTTTTTTTACGAATTTTTAAAGTTGCTCCAAATGCCATGTACTGTATTGTAGTGCTTGTCAGCTCACTTAGCATGCTTTGTGGGAAACCCTGATTAGATCTACATTCATAAAGCAGCTAATAGATAAAATACTAAATCAAAGCACTAACAATGCAAACTAATTTGACCATTTTGTGTGGGCACATCCATGATTTTACAAAATGATGAATCAAATTCTTTTAATAGATTGTGGTGCAGGTATAGGAAGAGTGAGCAAGAGGCTCCTTCTTCCTTTATTCAAAGAAGTTGATCTTGAGGAACAGAATCCATCCTTCCTTGAGAGAGCAAAGGAATACCTAGTAAACCTCATAGTGTATTGTATAGCAACCAATACTCACCTCACTGTATAGGGTGAGAGTGGGAGAAGAGTGGGACAATTCTTTCCAACTGGACTACAGGTACTTAGTAGCTGATAGAATTAGAAAATTTAATGGATAAGGATGTTTTGCAATCAAAAGCAAAATGCAAAACATCATCATGTCCTTTATAATAATAATGTGTTGCCTAGCTTTATAATTACATAGCAGTCATGATTTATAGGAGTTTGCTCCAATTAAAGGTCACTATGATGTTATTTGGTGCCAATGGGTACTCAGTCATCTTAGAGATGGTAAGTGCATTATGCTTACTGTAACTAATAGTATCATCGTATCATCATTAGCTGATTTGATATTGTTTCTCAAGAGGTGTTGTCAGGGACTAGTCCCTCACTCTGGCATCATTGTAGTGAAGGAAAACATAGCAAGAGATGAAGATGAGTTTGATGACAATGATAGCAGTGTTACCAGGTACTGCATAATACTATGCACTGTAGCAATGCTTTGTATTTTAATACTGCATGCTGATTAGGAGCATGGAAGCATTTTTAAGAATATTTTCAGAGTCGAATCTAGTCATATTAAAGCAAGAGCTACAACCAAGATGGCCAGAGAATATGTTTGAAGTAGCATTGTAAGACATTCAATTCAAATGCAATTATGATAATAGTTATTTCATAGGTTTGCATTAAAGCCCAAGACAACATGACCACCACTACCCACTGTACTAGATTCATTACTTACTACATGAACATAAAAACCTATATCTTTATTTTTTGAAAATTCGTGTACTATAAAAAATTATTTCAAATCGTGTTCCTTTCCAATCAGTAACAACACACTGCTGATTAAGAACCATTTCATAAGTTGACTCTTAATAACTTATTATTTTCTAAAAACCGACAAAACTTATTTAGAAACAATGCTATTACCCTAATTATGATCAGCACATTAAAATTATACAAAGTAAAAATAATAAAGAAACAGTTTATTTTGATGATGATGATGATGACTGTATTATAGCATTCAATAAGTTCAGAGACGTCAAGGGTTGCTCATTCTTTGTAGGATTGTGAAGCTTTGTTCCTCCAGCCTTTGACTTGCGTTGAAGCACCGACCGAATCGAAACTAGTTTACGATATGAAGCCTCTGGAAATGACTATAACAATAAAGGAAAAAAGAAAGTGCATCTTACAAGTGTATAAAATGCAACTAAAACAACAAAAGAAAGTTTTAAATAAGAATTATCAGTTTAATGTAAAAAAATCACACAAAACTAGCTAAAATCACTTTTTTAATTCATATTAATAATGAGTGCTTACTCTATGAGGATTAATTTGACAATACTTCTGGAGAAGCTGGCATGAGATCAGCATTATATCAGGCTGTGTGACGTAGATCTTGTGCATAAAATCAATCATAGTAGTTAAAGACTTCTCATCACAAAGCACAGAGAATTGAGTTGATGGCCACTATAAAATAGAATAGCGATTAATTGCTAGCAAGACACAGTTTTGAATATACAGTACAGAACAAATTTAAAGTACTATGACATTAATTGAGTAATATTAAAGAAGTAACATAACTCATAGTACTATTTTGGCAAAATTACCATCATTAGAATATACTCAGACTTTAAAAAAATTCATAAAAAATCCAATTTTGGTTGGAATCAGCTCAAACTTTCTACACGACACAAGTACATGTATATGTATCAAGAAAAAAATATAAAAATGGAATTTTCTCTCCTAGTCATTTTAGCAAAATTACAGGGACTTTGGCCCAATTTTTGAGCAACTTTAAAAATTCATAAAAAATCCAATTTTGATTGGAATCAGCTCAAACTTTCTACACGACATAAGTACATGTATATGTATCAAGAAAAAATATAAAAATGGAATTTTCTCTCCTAGTCATTTTTAGCAAAATTTTGGTGAAACCCCTGTACTATAGTACAGGGACTTTGGCCCAATTTTTGAGCAACTTTAAAAATTCATAAAAAATCCAATTTTGATTGGAATCAGCTCAAACTTTCTACACGACATAAGTACATCTATATGTATCAAGAAAAAATATAAAAATGGAATTTTCTCTCCTAGTCATTTTTAGCAAAATTTTGGTGAAACCCCTGTACTATAGTACAGGGACTTTGGCCCAATTTTTGAGCAACTTTAAAAATTCATAAAAAATCTAATTTTGGTTTGAATCAGCTCAAACTTTCTACATAACATAAGTACATGTAAATGTATCAAAAAATAAAATAAAAATGGAATTTTCTCTCCTAGTCATTTTTAGCAAAATTTTGGCGAAACCCCTGTACTATGCGAAACCCATGGGCAAAACCTATGTACAGGGACTTTGGCCCAATTTTTGAGCAACTTTAAAAATTCATAAAAAATCCAAATTTGATCAGAATTATACAGCTGAAACCTTCTACATAACATGAGAATGTATTAGAATAAAATATAAAAATTGAGAATTTTCTCCTTTTAATTTTTTGCTAAATAGGGTCTTTTGTAAAATTTTCAAAGCAATTTTAAATTTAATCAAGTTGGAATGAACACAACACACATGTGTATACAAGTGCCATGTTGTTGGCAAATTACCTTTAATATATTGAAGAGTATTAGTAAACAGACTTTGACCACCTCCAGAGTAGCTCTGCTCCTATTACTGGTACTGATATACTCATACAGAACTGTCAGTGCATTCCCTTCGACAATCACTCGACTACAGTGCTCTGAGACACCAGTGATCAGCTCTGAATTGCAAATTACAGTATTATAGTGGAAAACAGTTTATATTACACCTTCTTGTGTAATTATAATCTATGCTATAGCATTAATAACATACCAAATACTTTAAGTATATCAGCAGCAGTTGAGAGATAGCGTGTTCTGTGGAGCTCCTCTAACATAAGGGGTAGTCTTACTCTGAGAGAACTCTTTGAGCTTTTGTTAGCTTTTTCTATCCTTTTCCTAGCCTCGTGTACTGCTTTACGTTTAATGCTATGCCTCACTCTATACCCACGCCAATAAGACTGCAGCAATAGAGGAAAGAGTAAGCAAAATAAGTAAAAAAATGGTATTAACTTTGCTGTAAACATAATGATAATTCACAATACCTGTATCTTAAGTGCTGCCTCTTGTCTCCTTTTAATATATTGTATGGCCTGTAAAAGTCACAATTAAAAAAGGATCGAAATATATTTTAAACTTACCAGGAAGCCTCTGATGTGTCTTTGAATACAAACTGCGGCTTGTCTTCTTGCTTCTTTCCGTTTCTCCTCCCATAGTCCATAATAGATTAGGAACCTTCTCTGTATGACTCTAGCAGCCCATTCTCTCCTCTTGGCCTCTCTCTTCCTCTCCATAGCCAACAGGTAAGATTGATAGTATCGCTGGATACAAATAGCAGCATCTCTCTGAGTGTGGTATCTCTTCTGGCCAAGATATCTTCTCACTTGTGCTTGGAGTAAAACCATTGATGCTTTGACTGACAAATACTTTCTCTTAGCAATGACACTCTTAATACAGGACTGCATGAATACAACTGATCTGTAAATTTTTTTATAGTCATCAACTGCTTCCCTGGTTGCGACTTTTGCTCTCCATTTTGATTGAATAAATACTGCAGCTTCTTTTAGGCAAGTGTATCGCATACTGTAATAGTGTGCTCTATAGCTAGCTTGTATCATGATTGCTGCTCTCTCCCTCTTCAGCTGACGATAGTAAGACTGAATGAGTAGTGTGGCAGCCTTTAGTTGCAGATATTCTTGTCTTCCTTTTCTAGCTAACAGTGTAGCTCTCCAGTATCTTTGAA